CTTACAGATCTTGAACTCCGAGGGTGGGGCCTTGGACTCTGATTGGGCGGGGCGCCCCTGATTTCTAAATCCCAACCCTTACAGATCTTGAACTCCGAGGGTGGGGCCTTGGACTCTGATGGAGCGGGGCGCCCCTGATTTTTAAATCAGAACCCTTACAGATCCTTGAACTCCGAGGGTGGGGCTTTGGACTGATGGGGCACCCCTGATTCTTAAATCAAAGCTTTGACAGATGTTGAACTCCGAGGAGGAGGCCCTGGACTGATGGAGGAGTGCCCATGATTTTCAGATCACCGCCTCTTAGTGAGCTTGTCCTCCGGGGGTGGGGCCTTGGACGCCACTGGTTTTTCTTCAGAACTCTTACAAATCTTGAACTCCGAGGGTCGGGCCTTGGGTTGATGGGGCACCCCTGATTTCTAAATCACAACCCTTACAGATCTTGAACTCCGAGGGTGGGGCCTTGGACTCTAATGGGGCGGGGCGCCCCTGATTTCTAAATCCCAACCCTTACAGATCTTGAACTCCGAGGGTGGGGCCTTGGACTCTGATGGAGCGGGGCGCCCCTGATTTTTAAATCAGAACCCTTACAGATCCTTGAACTCCGAGGGTGGGGCTTTGGACTGATGGGGCACCCCTGATTCTTAAATCAAAGCTTTGACAAATGTTGAAGAGGAGGAGGAGGCCCTGGACTGATGGAGCGCCCATGATTTTCAGATCTCTGCCTCTTAGTGAGCTTGAACTCCGGGGGTGGGGCCTCGGACACCCCTGGCTGTTTTAATCAGAACTCTTTCAAACCTTGAACTCCGAGGGTGGGGCCTTGGACTCTGATGGAGCGGGGCGCCCCTGATTTTTAAATCAGAACCCTTACAGATCCTTGAACTCCGAGTGTGGGGCTTTGGACTGATGGGGCACCCCTGATTCTTAAATCAAAGCTTTGACAGATGTTGAACTCCGAGGAGGAGGCCCTGGACTGATGGAGCGCCCATGATTTTCAGATCACCCAGATCACCGCCTCTTAGTGAGCTTGAACTCCGGGGGTGGGGCCTCGGACGCCCCTGGTTGTTTTAATCAGAACTTTTTCAAATCTTGAACTCCGGGTCGGGCCTTGGGTTGATGGGGCACCCCTGATTTCTAAATCACAACCCTTACAGATCTTGAACTCCGAGGGTGGGGCCTTGGACTCTGATGGGGCGGGGCGCCCCTGATTTCTAAATCCCAACCCTTACAGATCTTGAACTCCGAGGGTGGGGCTTTGGACTCTGATGGAGCGGGGCGCCCCTGATTTTTAAATCAGAACCCTTACAGATCCTTGAACTCCGAGGGTGGGGCTTTGGACTGATGGGGCACCCCTGATTCTGAAATCAAAGCTTTGACAGATGTTGAACTCCGAGGAGGAGGCCCTGGACTGATGGAGCGCCTATGATTTTCAGATCACCGCCTCTTAGTGAGCTTGAACTCCGGGGGTGGGGCCTCGGACGCCCATGTTTTTTTTTAATGAGAACTCTTTCAAAGCTTGAACTCCGAGGGTCGGGCCTTGGGTTGCTGGGGCACCCCTGATTTCTAAATCACAACCCTTACAGATCTTGAACTCCGAGGGTGGGGCCTTGGACTCTGATGGAGCGGGGCGCCCCTGATTTTTAAATCAGAACCCTTACAGATCCTTGAACTTCGAGGGTGGAGCTTTGGACTGATGGGGCACCCCTGATTCTGAAATCAAAGCTTTGACAGATGTTGAACTCCGAGGATGAGGACTTGGACTGATGGAGCGCCCATGATTTTCAGATCACCGCCTCTTAGTGAGCTTGTCCTCCGGGGGTGGGGCCATGGACGCCACTGGTTTTTCTTCAGAACTCTTACAAATCTTGAACTCCGAGGGTCGGGCCTTGGGTTGATGGGGCACCCCTGATTTCTAAATCACAACCCTTACAGATCTTGAACTCCGAGGGTGGGGCCTTGGACTCTGATGGGGCGGGGCGCCCCTGATTTCTAAATCACAACCCTTACAGATCTTGAACTCCGGGGCCTTGGACTCTGATGGAGCGGGGCGCCCCTGATTTTTAAATCAGAACCCTTACAGATCCTTGAACTCCGAGGGTGGGGTTTTGGACTGATGGGCACCCCTGATTCTTAAAGCAAAGCTTTGACAGATGTTGAACTCCGAGGAGGAGGCCCTGGACTGATGGAGCACCCATGATTTTCAGATCACCGCCTCTTAGTGAGCTTGAACTCCGGGGGTGGGGCCTCGGACGCCCCTGGTTGTTTTAATCAGAACTCTTTCAAATCTTGAACTCCGAGGGTGGGGCCTTGGACTCTGATGGAGCGGGGCGCCCCTGATTTCTAAATCACAACCCTTACAGATCTTGAACTCCGAGGGTGGGGCCTTGGACTCTGATGGAGCAGGGCGCCCCTGATTTTTAAGTCAGAACACTTACAGATCCTTGAACTCCGAGGGTGGAGCTTTGGACTGATGGAGCACCCCTGATTCTTAAATCAAAGCTTTGACAGATGTTGAACTCCGAGGATGAGGACTTGGACTGATGGAGCGCCCATCTTAGTGAGCTTGAACTCCGGGGGTGGGGCCTTGGACGCCCCTGGTTTTTTAATCAGAACTCTTACAAATCTTGAACTCCGAGGGTCGGGCCTTGGGTTGCTGGGACACCCCTGCCTTCTAAACCGCAACCCTTACAGATCTTGAACTCCGAGGGTGGGGCCTTGGGTTGAGGGGGCGCCCCTGATATCAGGTTCACCGGGTTTACCGGGTTTACCGGGTTTATCGGGTTTACCGGGTTTATCGGGTTTATCGGGTTTATCGGGCTTATCGGGTTTATCGGGTTTGTCGGGTTTATCGGGTTTATCGGGTCTATCGGGTTTACCGGGTTTACCGGGTTTACCGGGTATATCGGGTTTATCGGGTTTATCGGGTTTATCGGGTTTAACGGGTTTATCGGGTTTAGCGGTGTGCGTCCGCTGTTTGCGCGCGCAATGTTCGAACTCAGCGGCTTCAGCAACGTCGAGCAGGGCTTCGAGCGTGGGTACTGGGTTTCGGGTTGTGTCAGGGTCTCCTTAGGGTATAGGGTCTAGGGTTTAGGGTTCAGGGTCTCCTGACGGGTCTGGTCAGGGGGTGCGGAGCCGCAAGGAACCAAAGCCTCGGGCACTGAAGTGGAACCCTCAAACCGCCTCTTCGCATTCGCCTCCAGCTACCTTAACCCCAAGTAACCTACCTTTTTAAGGACTTATATAACTTATATAAGGAAATCATAATGAGGAACCCTAAATTTAAAAAGGTAGGTTATCCAGGGTTGAGGTAAGGACTTAAGGTCAATCCTTCGCCTTGGCCTCCACCTGGGTGGTTGTCAAAATTATGGTCCCCCATTTAGGTACCCTAAATAGTAGGTGCCGTATTATATTAAGGGCCCAAAAAGGGATCCTAATTTTGACAACCACCCACCTAGACTTCACTTCACTTCGCAGCGTAAGGGTACTAGTCCCGTGCTAAAACAGGGCGGACCAAAAACTGGGAGACCCAGCAGTCCTGGAAAAGCGGAGACTTACTGCTCCTGCATGCAACTCACAAAACCATGGTGAAACGAGACGAGCCGGCAAGAGGGAGGACCAAACCGCGAACCCACCGACTCGGCAGCAACTTACAGAAGTTGGTGAGGGAAGGCCAGACGGCGCGGAGAAGCACCAGACAGGCGCCCCACCGCCAGCAAGGCCAAGGCGTGGGCAGCGACCTCAGGCAGGCAGAAAACTGTGCCAAAGCCAAGCACAGAAACCGCCGAGGTCCCTACCGCAGTGGGCGAAGCACGGCGCAGAAGCTCCCAAAAGGCAACGGGGAGCGGTTGCGCACTCCAAAGTACGGCCCCGTACCTCACCTGGCGGAGAAGATGCAAGAAAGTAAGCATCCGCCGCAAGAAGAGAATGCGACCCGAGGCAAAATGCCCAAACCCAGCTGGGCCACTCCGGTCGGGGCAAGGTGTCGGACGCTCCTCCTTGCGTAAAAAGGCCGAGAGGCGCCAGACTTCCGACGACCATGGATGCTGCGTGTCAACCAGGAACACCCTCCAACAAGCAGCCCAGCTAACAGGCAAGCACCAAATCGCAGGTGGCACACCTTCCCACCGACAGGACAAAACAGAAGTCTCACAGTCGGGAGAAAATTCAACGAAGCGGTACACGCCTGAGGGAGAGGTGACGAGGTCACATCCCGGGCGTCCCGTCCAAGCGAGTCTCCGAGAGACCCAACGGGGGCAGGTACAGGACGAGGGAAAGGCTCTGGCATGGCGGCAGACGCTGTAGGCGGCACGAGCAAGGAAGGCGGAGGTCCAGCCTCAACAGACTCCGGCGGAGAAACTCCAAGAGCACTGACAGAGTTGCGCCGGAAGGGAACAACTGGCGAAGATCGAGCACCATCGGCAAAGCCCGGCCCAGGTGCAAGCAGACTCAGCTCTGCCGAGAGCTCAGCCTCCGTGCAGCACCTTTCCTCAGCCGCAGCAAGACGTTGAGCTGCGGTTGCGTTCATAGGCCCACAAATCCGAAAGACTGGTGCACGCGCGTGGCCTTGCTTGCCACGCCGTTTGGTGCCAGAGCCATACTCATAGACCGGCCCAACACAACAGCGGAGGCCATGTTCGCACTCAGGGGTGTGAAGCAGGTGATAGCGGAGCCGGGCTGCATTGTGGAATTCCGTCAAACACCACAGGCAGACAGTGCCGAGGGTATATTGAGTGCACAAAGCTACTCGGCCATGCAACCTGTGCATGTGCGCCGCGAGGGCATGGGCCGACGCCAGTGTCGCCCCACATTCTGAACATGTCCGAGGGGAGGCAAGGCCAATGACCCGCTTCGGTGTGGGGCTCTCGTGACTCTTCCAGGCTCGTTGAAGGGCAAGAAGCATAGTGCCTGAGCGGCTAATTTTCCGACAAGCCGAAAGGAGCTTCTTGAGGTGTCTCCGTATCATCCCCAGGAGAGTGGGCTCCCCTGTCTGGAGCTCGGGGAGACCAGAGGCAGGCCAGACACGACGCGCGGCCTCAGCGAGCAAGGAGGCCCATTCACCTCCTCGATCCCAGCTTGCTTGGAAGAGTTCGAAGGCCTCAGTTGACCGTCCGGAGGCAATCCGACATAACAGACGGACCCGGGCAACTATAACGGCGCACTCAACATCCAAAACACCCGTGCATGCTCGCAGTTGGGCTGAGGCGACATGGTGACCAGCATCCCAAGCCCCAACCAGCTGTCGGAGGCACTTATCCAGAAACCCATGAAGAGGGCCCCAGGCACGCTCTGAGCGAGCAAGAGTCGTGGCAAGCGAGGAATAAGCTGCGGGAAGAGTCCGCCCTTGCAGCCACACAAGCTTCAAAGGACCAGCCCCGCTGCTTGGGTCCAGATAGCATTTCCTCGAGCGGCTGCAGCCTCGATATCCCGACGGCCGGTGTCACGACAACGTTGTGCCACGCCGAGGTACTTGTATTCAGGGACGACTCTGATAGATCTGCCATCAGGAAGGTCGAGCTTAGGTTCGGGCGACAGAAGCTCTTTCCTGGCGGCATTGGCCCCAGCTCCTTGAAGGTGGACAAGGGCCTCAGTTTTGCCAGGGCCAAGATTAACCCGGAAACGAAAGGCCTCAAACACCTGCAACACAATGGCACACAACCGACGGAGCTTCGTGACCGCCCACGCGGCTCGAGTGAAGTCCACAAGGAGACACAGATCATCTGCCCACGCGATCTGCAGCGAGGCGTCGGGCTGACCCAGAGCATCAGCAGAGGCAATGTGCACAATGTCCTCAGCAAGAAGGGCATGATGGAGGCACTGTAAGATCACGGCAAACAGGGCGCCAAAAAGGACATCAGCCAAGCCATCGCCAGGCCGAGACCCACGGCTGGCAATGATCGCTTGCGGTTGCCCGACCGTCCGCCAAAAGGAACATTCAACACAGTCTCGCAAGAGTGCGACCTGATCTTCGGGGACTCCTAACCCGGTCAGCACGCCATCTTGAAGAAGCCGGTGTACATGTCTGGGAAGCTGGAGCCCCTGCAACGCAGAGTCGAGATCACGACCTTGGAAGAGCAGGAGTCGATCCGCTTCATAATAGGCGGCTTGAATGTCAACAAACAATGCAGCCCATGAGTGCCCGCGGACGGAGGCCAGGTCCACAGCGGACCGGAAGACACTCAGGGCGAGGCCAGTATCTATTCCCTTCCTGCCACCAAGTTGGGTAGGGAAATAGTGGGCGATGACCTCCTGACCTAGTGTGGACCTCAGCTGCGAGTGCCAGAGCTTTGCCACGCCATTGAGCACGGCGATCGACCGAAAATTTGCAGGAATGTGAGCCGGGCCTTTCTTATGCAGAGCTCCGACAATAGAGGCTTTGAAGTGCAGGGGTTCGGCTTCTCCCCATGCCATGCGCAGCCACATGGGCCATAGCCAACCCACCTAGACCCTAAATCCTGAACCCAAAACCCTAAACCTAAACCCAAACACCCGAAAAGCAGATCATGACGCTACAAACCCGAAACCCTACGTAAGCCTAAACCCTGAACCCTAAACCTTTAAACCCTAAACACCCAAACCCTAAACCCCACACCCTAAACCCTAAAGTCCAAACCCCTAAACTGTTAACCCTAACCCCCTAAACACCGAACCCCAGAAGACACTACGCTCATCAACAAAACCCTGAACCTCTGAACCACGAACCCGAGAAGACACTACCCTAGATCCCGAACCTGAACCCCAAACCTTACCCCTTTAAGCGGGAAAAGAACCTGAACCCCAGAAGAGGCTATGCTTATGACCCAACTGCCCGCTTCGCAGGCGCCCGGCGCGGCGAATCTTGAGGCCGAGGCGGCAGGGGAGTTGGAAAGGGGGCCGATTCGGTCGTTCGTAATTAGGGCTCAGGGGGTTTAGGGTTTAAGGTTCAGGGACTTAGTAGTAGGGTTCAGGGGGCTGATTTCCGTCGATCGTACTTCAAACAATTAGGGTTGGGTTGAGGATTGAGGGCTTAGGCGCCTGATTTCGATCGTTCGTGATCAGAACAGTAGGGTCCTTACAAGTTGCTTCATTGCTTTTCGTAGGCATGTTCTAAGGGCTTTATAGTTCGGTCCACAGGAGCCGCTAAAGGGAGATTGGTGAGGTTAAGGAAGTATGGTCGCTGCTTTTTCCGACATCTTTTTCATCCGAGCACATGCATGGTGCAATGCTAAGCTTAAGGGCAAGAGTGTCGGGTTTAGGGTTTAAGGTTGTTGGGTGCATCAAAAACCTCTATTGCTGAGACCCTTTGATTTGTGCAATGAAAGCAGTAATCAAGCTGATGGGTGATATCAGGCCTTGCAGATACAAAATTGCTTGCGGGTGTAGGGGGTGTAAGTTACAAGGTAGGATAGAAGGGGCATCCATCAACAATGGTTCCTGTAGACTTTGTTAGATAAAGTACTACCTGCGATGCACACTCTCCGTCAACTCCCCGGAATTTGTAGCTGTCCAGCTTCATACAGCCGCAAGTCAGATGCCGGTCATAAACCCCGAAACACCCCTCCACACGCTCAAGCCGACTGTAGTAACGGAGCCCCGCTGAAGCCCATGGGCCCCAAAACCAACCCTTCATCCCAAGCCCTCGCCGTTCAACCTAAACCCTAAGCCCTAAACCCTGAACTCTAAGCCCTAAACCCTAAACCCTAAGCCCTAAAGCCTAAACCCCTGAAAAAAAAAGGCCTAAACCCTAAACCTAAGCCCGAAGAAGCCGAGTTCCAGAGGTCCAGGAGACCTATGCCACCTTCGGTGGACAGATGCCTTCCAGACTTGCTTGCCTTGTAGGGTGCCGGTTCTGAAACTTCGAGGTCTTCATGGATTTTAGTGTTGAGGGTCTACAAATCTCCTGACTCTTGTTGGGGTGGTTTGGCATGAAAGCTTGACTGTTGATCTGCTGTCGTGTCGGGAGAGTAAGGCACGGGGTCGTAGAGGGCGTTCCATTAGGGTTCAAGAACTCTTCCAAAGATACGTTATCTTTTGTTAATCCCGGGTTGAAACGTTGAGGCAGAGACTCTTAGGGTTCATGTTTCATATAGTTTTGTATGGCGTGGTCAATAAATATGGGGGGCTCCTGACGATGATGGCCAGAGTTTCTTCCGGCTGTCCTTATGGGCGCATGGGGCATGGGGATACTAGCAACCAGACCCCAAACCCTAAAGCCCTCATACCCTAAAACTCTAAACCCCCTAGGACTGCCCTCTGAAACTTTCTTTCGCCCTACAGCACCCCAAGGTCATGCCTTGTTGTTACATGAACGTGCATGCACCAAGTGGCCATAAGCAGGAAAGCATACTGCTTTGCTCTGTCTGTCTGTCTGGCTGACTGCTTACCTATCTACCTACCTATCTGCGTACCTGTCTACCGATCTACTAATTACGTACCTAGGTCGCCTAGCTATCCATGTATGTGTCCATGCAACTAGCTATCTACCATCTAGCTATTATACCTATATACCTACCTATCTGACGGTCTATCCATGTATCTATCTATCTATCTACATGTGGCATTGCCTGGCGCATCATCGAACCGCCTTCCGTTGAGGTACAAAGGCTGTCCCACGAACTTCATGAGCTCTGCCAGCCAGACTACTTGGTCTCCATTCAGGGAGCCGAGGTACAGAACCGTCCCGGGGGCCCGGTTCTTCTCTAGGGTTTAGGGTTTAGGGTGGGTTTTGGGGTTTCGGTGGAGGGGCCTCCGGACAAGTGCCCACCATCGAGTTTGTCGAGGACCTCATGCCGGATGAATCCTCTGCCGGTCCGCCAGATGGCACAGGCGGACTGCCAGATTCTGCCGGTCCTGACAATGGACCTGATCGGGCCGAGGGTCACCGAGATGAGACTGCGCACAACCAACACCCCGTTGTGTCGGTCTTCGCACGTTGATATCAAAATAAACGACACATCAGTCTTCGCGCGTTTACGTCCAAAGTCCAGGATATATCATAGAAACTAATATAGACAATGTATGCGTATACGAAGCATGGGCTGCGCTGATATTTTCGCCACTTCGAGTGTAAGATGAGTTGTAAAAACCAGAATAAATGATATGTCGGTCTCCGCGCGTTTACGTCAACGTTGGGGCCAATAATGGTAATAGCAGCAATAATAACGGCAGCAGCGACAACAACGGAGCCAGCAACAGCGGCAGCAATAATCTTAGCAGCAGCAGCAACAACAACAACATCAACAGCAGCAACAGCAACCGAAGCAATATTCTATTTGCTTCTTTTTCTCTTGCGATACGTAGGTGTACCCTAAACTCAAACCCTAAACCTCCCTAAACCTTAAGCTCTAAAGCCTAAACCCTAAACTTTACAACCCTAAACCTTAAACCCTAGCCCTAAACCCTAAAACCCTAAACCTTGAACACTAAACCCTAAACCAGTCGGAGAGTCCGTCTCCCGCCAGGCAGCAGTGGGTCCAAGCCCTGGCAGCAATGGTGGACCAAGAGGCGTTTAGGGCGTGGAGCGCGTTAGGCTTTTAGGGTTTTAGGGCTTAGGGTTTAGGTTTTATTAAAGGGGGGCTCTAGGTTTTTAGGGTTTTTGGGCTTAGGGTCTAGGGTTTTTGGTTTAGGGTTTAGGGCTTAGGGTTTAGGGTTTAGGGGGGCTTTAGGGTTTTAGGGTTTAGGGTTGAACCCTAGAAGGATAATTCTAGGGCTTTGGGCTCAGTATTTTCGGATATGGGTTCCCAGGATACTAAAGTTTTCTAAGGAAAAAGGAGCTCAAAAAAAAGAAAAAGTTTCCTTGGTATTCAACCCGGGAGTTATAAGCCTGTTGTTTTTGCTGATGTTTATTAGTATCTGTCGCTGTGGCCCTGGTAGTTGGATTGCTTTGGGTTTATATGGTGTTAGGTGTTTTGGGGACGTTGGGTTTACAGGCCTTCTGTGTGTTTTCTCTTGTTTGAGGTTTTTGGCGATGTATAGGGAACTCCAGAAAGTTGGAATATGGATTAATGGTAGGATCCCGTATAATTTACCTTAAAGGGGTTACGATAATGATATTCCAACTTTCTGGCTTCTACTGTAGGGGTTTTGGGTCTAAGCAGATCCTGATTAGGTAACCCCTCTCCTTGAATAGGGAGTGGAAGACGCATGCTAATGTCAGGGCCCTTACGTTGAGGTTGAAATTTTCTGCATCATCCTGGGTTCCCGATTTGACGTTTGGTTCCGCTCGGAATTGCTTTAGGGAATCTTTTGGTACAGTACCCTAGGAGTCCAGAAGGATGCTTTGGATTTAAGTTCTTGAGTCTTGGGTCTGTAACGTTGGACATTCAGATTAGAATTAATGCGTGGGTCTGTGGTTTTGAGCAGTTGAAGCGCTTGCTCTAACGTCACACCCACATGCGTGTATATATATATATATATATACAAATACACATGTATTTGCTTATGGAGAGACAAAGCCAGACAGAGCGAGAGAGAGAGAGAGAGAGAGAGAGAGAGAGAGAGACTGATTGACCACAATCTAGCCCAAAGCCTACTTCAGGTATTTAGGCCTTTAATACATTCTGAAGCTTTTCAGATCATCGCCGTCCTGCTCCAGCAGCTGGATGAGTCTGCGCGTGCCTCAAAGATTTGGGGCCGTGGATTGGCTTCATAAGCGGGTGTATGGTTTAGGGTTTCAGAGTTTAGGGGTTTGGGGGCCTAGTTTAGGGGTTTGCGGTTTAGGGTTTTAGAGTTTTGGGGTTTCGGGTGTTTAGACTTTAGGGTTTAGGGTTTGATAGGGCGTTCTTCAGTGCATTGTGGAGCTCAACAAGGGGTGTTTAGACTGAAGGTCTTCCAAGCAAGCAGTGCGTGCACGCCTTGTTTTAGACGGGTCTACATCATGGGCCTGGGGAGCGGAAAGCTTTATGTGGTTTCTTCAGAATTTCTATAAGCATAGGGTTTGGGGTTTCGTCGCCTTTTTATCTGAGTTCGTCAAGGTTGTGGCGTATGTTAGGATTCTTGTATGGGATATCCTCACCTCCTTGTCCTCACCTTTGAGCCGTTTTGACTAATTACTGAGGCCCCTATATAATAGGGTTTTGTGAGACATTGTGAGACATCGCAAGAGCTTGATTAGGGATTCTTCAGGGTTTAGGTAGAGCTACCGCGGTGATTTTGAGCCAGCTTTAGAAATTGAGGGGGTCATGTCAGGCCGGGCAGCCATTGATCTACTTTTGTATCCTTCAATTTGTGTCGTGAACCCATGAACCCTCAACCCCAAACCTCTACGAAAGCATATCCGTAAAGCATTCCAAGTTTATGTAGACCTCTGCAAACCCCCTATAGGACCCGAACCGATAGAAGAATAGGTTAGGATTCCTGAATTCTCGGGTATAGTGCCCATGAAGACAGAAGGGTTTGGAACCACGTGTCCGATAAAGCCACTACAACCCCAA